ATAATAATTATAAACACGGCAATTATAGAAATTTCGAATATCATGTAGAATATCATTAAATTTCACCTGTAGAAAGTCATTATTAATAGGACTAATATTGTAAATATATACTTATTACACATTTTAGTCTGACTAATTTTACCAAAAATTAAAAAACAATATTCATATTGATAAATTAAGCTGGATGTAGCTAATTAGCCACATATGGTAGCGGATGAAGTATTCGAGAGTTAACGTTTCGTTTGGTCATGAAGGGCAAATAGATATGTTGTTTAAAATCTCGTTTCTTCTATTTTATTCAATTTTTTTTGTTCCTATATTAACAGCAGTATTAAGATATACAATTATGAATACGTACAATGCTGCTCATAAAGCCAGGTGGAAAGAGAAAAGGATGGCTGCAAATATTTTAAGAAGTGTCGAACGTTTAAATTATAGAAATGCATTCATTTGCGAGATACAAGCTGTAGTGATTCGTCCATATATTGCCATTAGCAAATGACAAATGACCGGAAGCGGACCACAGCGAACATGATAATATCCTTGATAAATTTAAGGCTTCAACAAACTGCAGTATTTCGTTGATAATCTGCAATTTGCTAAGAACCTATGACCGGATGCGGACACAGCGATCATAATAATATCAAAGATAAATTTAAGGATTCAACAAGCTGTAGTGATTCGTCCATATATTGCCATTAGCAAATGACAAATGACCGGAAGCGGACCACAGCGAACATGATAATATCCCTGATAAATTTAGTTGTCAACATGCTGTAGTGATTCGTCAGTATTTCGCAATTTGCAAATCCTCAATTTATTTTTCAGACACCCGTCGCAAAAGACGATGGCTAAAATTGTTCCATCATCTAGTATATCATCATCTACAACCCCTACTGTAGACAGACACCCGTCTCAAAAGACGATGGCTAGTACAATTGCATCATCTAGTATATCATCATCTACAACCCCTACTGTAGACAGACACCCATCTCAAAAGACGATGGCTAGTCCAATTGCATCATCTAGTATATCATCATCTACAACCCCTACTGTAGACATCAGTACAACTCAGAGGTAAGAGGTTCTTACTGTTATGTAGTAATACAGATATTCCAATCACTATTATTATTTCTATTAAGAATTTAAAAAACAATAGAGTAGAAATTTGTCTTGAACATACGACATGCTTAAGACATATTGCCACATGTTCACTCAAACATTCTAAAGAAGTTACATTTGAGTTAAGAGAGTCAGCAAACTGCAGTGATTCGAATTAATATTCGCATTAGCTACCGACTAGTTACGGGATGTCGACTTGCACCGTCTCGAAAATTTCCATAAAAGATATTCAGAGGGTCATCAAGCTGTAGTGATTCGTCTTTTAAATTCCATTAACTTTTAACTTATTACCAGTGGGGACTTGAGTTTCATAAAAATTTCCAAAAGGGAAAGTAGGAAGGTCAATAAGCTTAATTGTTTTGCCATTATAATGGGACAAACTTGAGATTTATTTTCAACTCAGCATTGGAAGATGTTAAAAATATTCAGATAATTTAGAATCCTTAGGGTTGAAAGACTATTCTCGTGAGGATAAAAAATAGGATTCATATTAATTTAGTTTAATTAAATGAGTGTATTGGTTTTCAGCTTCCAAATAACTGAAAAGGATGTGTGGTATGATCGGGTGACAAGTCGCCTTCAGACGGAGAAACAGTGAGTATTTAATAACTTATTTCCAACGTTTTGTTTCAGATTGCGCGACTTGAGTAAGCAGTTCCTGCAAATTGATAATTTAAGGCCGATACAGCTTGCTGTAATGTTACACATTTTAAGTCAAAGAGCAACAGCTTATTCGCTACCAACTGGGCATGGGAAAACTGCATGTTTTCTGGTCCCATTCTTGCTGATGAGGCCGTATCATTTGGTTATTATTGTATCGCCCCTGCTGGCATTGATCAAAGACATGTCCTTAAAATTTAAGAATTCGTTATGCTTTATTAATTTAAGCGACTTTCCTGTAGATGATGTCTTCCTACAGAATCTACAGGAAAAGTTGAATGAATCGCCGGTTTTCATTATTTGCACTCCCGAAAGGCTCTGGGGAAGCGGCCCATCAATTCTCCTATGCAATGACATTATTCTGAGTCCTGTAGGGATGGTGTTCGACGAGGCGCACACAATCGTGTCGTGGGGCTTCACCTTTCGGGACGCTTGCACGAGATTGGGCCCCGATTGTGTGAAGTCGTCGAAGATTGTGTTCGCATCGGCAACACTCCCTGCAGAGTTCCTGAATCTGATTGAGCAATTGGTCGATGGAAGGAAAGTTCCTTTGATAAAACAGATCCCTTTCGTTTCCAACAGGGAAATAATCTATTTTAATACGATGACGGATCCAGTACACGGCCCATTCGGTCTAACAAACAAGACAAAAGTACTGAAGAGATTGGTTGGATTCCTCACCTTCGAATGTAAGGAAGGACACACCGTGGTCTTTTTCCGACCATTAAGGAGGTGACGGAATACAGCGCCCTGTTGGAAACGAAAGGAATTTGTAACGTTCCTTTCACCGGGCCTATGGGAGAAGGTGAGAAAGCCGGGCAATTAAGGAAGTGGTTGTCGGGACAAGCAAGGGTAATGGTTGCGACATCGGCTGCATCTTTAGGAATCGACAATGGAGAGTGTCGGTCCGTGATTGTTGTTGGCCTGCCAAACAGTCTGTTGGACTTCGTCCAAAAGATTGGTAGAGCGGGTCGCAACAATCGTCCGTCAAAAGCAATATTCCTGCACGAAGGTGTCAGGAATATCTACTCGGTGATGAAGACGGCATCAAAGATCAAGTGCGGTGGAGATCTTCTTTCCTCCAACGAAGGAGTGCTTGGGTTCGGGGCCTTGTTTCAGAATCGATACTGCATCAATGAAATTATTACAGCAGTCCTGGACCATCGGCGGCAAACAACCTGTAACTCGTCTCTGTCACATGTACTCGCTTTGTCTTTGATAACTGTTCGTAAGCCTTTGTTCAACTTTATAAATCGATTTATTCCAATGTGAATGTACTTTATTGCTTTTTAGTTAAGTACTATTTGGTGTCTATTTTTAATGTGCATGATCTTTTGCCTTTTTTGTTAGGTTTTATGTATCTGTAATGCCTTGAAGATGACACTCGTGTTGAAACGCTCCGGCAATAAAATTTAAAAAAACTTCATTGCGTTTATGCGCGGCAATAGACATGTTCAAATCGCTTGAGGTAGTTGGACCGCTTACTTGGGCTGCACTGTTATAACCACCCCTGCATCTGGAATTCGGAGTGCGATTTTGCGCAGTGTGGATTGTAATAAAGCAAATAAAAACCACATATAACCATCAAAATAATTTTACTTCCATTTCTGTTTCAATTTAATAAAATATGATAACAAATAGAAAATCTGAACGTTACATGACTAGTATTTACAAATAGATAGGAAACTGCTCAGCGGAACACATTCATCAATAGTCGGGTGGGATTGAGTATGGAGGTGCAAAAACAAGCTTCCTCCGAAAAATATTCGAAATCTGCAGAAACCTGACTGCTGAGTGTGAGACACGTAAATATTAGTTTAGGGAACGTTCTTGAGCTGCATTTTACGCGAATGAATAGAAGCGCAGTCCCGCCGCGCCGCACAGTGGATCGCGTAAATAGGAGAAATGGGAAAAAATTTAGAAACTTTAAAAGCTCCATAACTCCGTGTATACAAAATTTTGAGGTTCTAAAAGCGGTTACATTAGTTTCCTCGTATGATTTCATTTCATGATGTGAGGAGACGCCCAATTTCCCCCTGTAATGTCTGGGAAAATTGGCGTCTCCTCACAATGAGCACTCCTTGAAATTTATAATGTGACGGAATGAACATCAAAATTTGCGGCTTTAGTCATGAAGTTCACGTCCGTCCCCTACGATTGACTCGATCCACTGTGCGGTACCACCGCTGCAGCTGCAATGACTCCCTGGCCATTAGCTGTAATTCGTTTTGGCTTTTTTTCCGGACATGCAAAGCTCGGCTCACAATTCACCTTTCCAAAGAGCTTTTTTTGTAGGAGACATTCGGGTAGAGAGGGAGCTCTGCTTTTAATGCAGGAGAAAAATGACGTTCCAACGGCGCTCCTACATGTTTAACCCTTCGTTTACCAGAAAACCTACAGCGGAACGATGTTGGGCCGCGCTTGATCCGGCTTTGAAATCCCTCGGGTTTTTCTCAAAGTCGCTATACTCCTACAGCAACCCAACCGGGTACACTCATCTTAAATTGATCAGTTCTGGCTTCAAAATTTTCGTTGGGTGTGCTACGGATGGATATCGGCAGACATTTTTTGTGCGATATCCCAACAAACCTTCCGACTCAGTTGACATTTGTTCGGTGCAAATATCCTAGTTGGTCTATGTAAACTAATTGCGAGCCATAAAAAACCTTAAAAAGGAAAATAGAGTGCTTAGCTGCGCGAAAAAATTTTGCGGTTATCTCATGAAAGTAGGATTCACCAGGTTATTTTGATAATGTCAATATTCTGATTTAAGTTTCATGATTTTGATTTTAACTTTTTGTCAGCATCAGGATACAGCTTGACGGGGGTTCCGATAAAAAAAGCCACTTATAATTAATTAGAAGTGTATAACAAAGAACAATTCTTTGATTTATTCATTGAAAATTGACAGAACATGCTAAAATAAAAGAAATACAATATGGGGGATGTCGAGATAAAATAAAGCGTAAGTTTTGGAACACTGTGACAAGAAAAGGTGTGTAAAACAAAACTGATTTATGTGTTTCGAAATTTATCGACGACCAGAATTCGTCCGTTGTACTCAGACTTTGAGGTCTTACGTTCTACATGTGCACTGGAGACAAAAACACATTGGATCTAGAGTCCAGACTCTTGAAAACAATGACAAGAAAAAATATTCTTGATTGAATCGGATTTTTGCTTGAATCAAAACGAAATCCGCTTAAATTAAGAGGCTTGGGTTCTTGATTTAAGCTAGATTCTGATTGAATCAAGAGTACTTTTTCTTGTCGATGTTTTTAAGAGTCTGGACTCTAGATCCAATGTGTTGTTTTTCTTTCCAGTGTGGTTTGAAAAATCATAAGATGATATAACGACTTCCTTCAATCCCACACTCGTGTTGCCTGCTGTTAATTTCTATTGAAGAGCAGTACAAAAATATAAGAAAAGACACGCGAAGAAGCAGTTCCTGACAACTATATGAATAAACTAAGATACAAGAGATTTATAAAAGTTGAGTCAGAGAATCTGAAGGACAGTTAGAGATAGAGATCATTAGGCTCAAAACTAGGCGAGAATGAAACGACGTGGCACGAACGTTCACCTGTGAACAAAAAATCCACAGTACTTAGTTTATTTAAATATGGTTGTGGTTGATTTTGCTGCGATAAGGACGCACATATGTTAGCCCGAAGACAGACATTGAAACAAAAAACCAAGCGGGAAAGTTCCAATACTGTCGTATTAGAAAAGCGCTCAGGTGTTAGTAAATGTATTCAATGAAGAAAGGACGTATAAACTCCGTCGACTTGGCTGGGAAATGGAAATAAAACATCAGCTGATAGCAAACAAAGGTTACCAAGAAAACCGTAAACGCGTATTTTTGTTTCCCGAAAATGAGCTCACCGTTTTTGTCGATTTGTCAAGGAAATTCAACGAAATAAAGGTAGCGTTTTTTAGAGGATCAAATTCGCATCTTATTGTGACGGCGTGGACGTCCAGTGATAGGTTGGTAACCGGGGAGGGGGGGGGGTGAAAGAAGATATTAGGAAGTGTGGATTTCCTGATGATCTCTGAGAGGATAAGAGGTGTTGGCGATTGGGTGGTGCAGAGCGCGATGCTGCGCTTAGGAGGCGACTGTTATGTATGTAATATCGCATTTGATACTGATATCCAAACTGCACTCGAATGCGATATTTTTATTTTAAGAAAATCCTGTGTTTATTGCGTTGAATTTCTTGTCAAAGAGGTGTGTGAAAAAACGGCCAAAAATGCCTCAAGGCATTTTCGAATTTTGATCACTTGGGGCGATACAGTAGCTTCCCAGACGCCCAAAACCGGTCACCGTTTTGCTTAGAAGCGCCGGGTTGCGACGTTGCCATTTTTTAAAGTGGAAACCTTTAAAAATTCATATCTCCGCCGCATCTCAACCGATTTCAATGAACTTTTTTTTAAAATGTTCCTCTTAAATAGGGCTTTCTAGTGGTGTATAGTTTTCTGGGGTTTACTTGGCTTTAAGTGGCACTTACGCGGTTTTAGCAGTTCTTGATAGACACAAAAATTTAGTTTTTATTTTACCACGATCGTGGAATCGACGGAATCTAAACAAAAACCAGTCTAAATGAAAGTTCAGATTCTCATCTTTCTAACGAGTACAAGATCATCCCGGGGAAACGTTTAGTTTCCGAGATATGACCGCTCAAAGTTGGTCACAAACGCTTTTGCGCAATGTGAATGCGCCTTATCACTAAGTCATTCGCGAACTGGGGGTCCCTTATGTTCAATTTACGTTGAAATAATTACACAGAGCAGTAAGGGGTACAACACGAGCCGTATTTTCACCTTCGGCTGCTGATGTGCGACGTTGCCATTTTTTTAAGTGGAAACTCTTAAAAATGCATAACTCCGCTGCATTTCAACCGATTTCAATGAACTTTTTTTAAAAATGTTCCTCTTGAATAGAGCTTTCTAATGGTATTTAGGTCTCTGGCTTTTATTGACTTTAGGGCGGCAC